ACTATGTCAACTATGTCAACTATGTCAAATATGTCTGACATATCATATATGTCAATTATGTTAAATCGGTCGATCTTTTGCGCTACATAAGCTGCGTCACATTTACCCGTTCACAATATTTAACATATTCTTAGATTATCTTTTTTTTTTCTTTTATTTTAAGAGTTTTTAACTATTTTCTTTTTCTGCAATTTGATTATTTGTTTCTTATGTTTTATGATTAGTTTATAATTTATATTATATTTATTATTATTTATTATATAATTTACCAAATCCTATATGATTATGTTACCTTTTAATTAAATCAAATGATTTATATTTTATTATATTATTTTGATTAATTATTTTTTTAATAATATGTAATTTATCCTTATTTCTTTTATGTAATTTATAAATATTTTGTATTTCTTATTATACAATATATTGTATTATTAATATCATATGATTTATTATATTTTTCTTAGCTAATTATTTTACCTTTATAACCATTTGTTCAATTGGTTATTTCTTAATTTTTTGTTATTATAATTTTTTTATTATTATCTATTTTATTAAAAGGATCATGTGATATATTATTTTGAGATTTTTTAACTTTATTTCTTTAAGTATTTTGCAGACAAAATTGCTTGTAAGTTTATTTAATAATTAAAATTATTTATAATAATTTATTTAAAAAGTAATATTTTTTAATAAATTTTATAATATTTTTTAAGTAAAAATTTAAATAAATATAATTAATTAGTGATATTTTAAAGTTAAATATTGTTAACATGTAATTCTTGTAAACTATGACTATTAGACAAAGTGTTCAAGCGGTCTATTCTTTTTAATTGAGCAGTAATCTTTCAATAGTTTATAAGCTTTAATTCAGATGATTTATCAAAGTATTTATATTATTACAATAAGTTACGATTTAACAGATTGTCAGTAGTATATATTTGTAAATATTGTGTTATTCACGAGTAAAATAATAATAAAGATAAAGAAAAAGAAGAAAAGTAAAAGAAAATAAAGAAGAAAAATAAGAAAGAGAAAAGAAACGAAATACTAAAACTAAAAGGTGATGCAATAGGTCAGTTGCTTCTAAAACTACTAAAACTATATTGTCAAGTTCCTATCGGTCTCTCCTTTTTTACATGAACTAAAAAAAACTACCTATTTATATAAAATAAATTACATAGAAAAATATAACTAACATATCTAATATATCAACTATGTCTAATATGTCAACTATATCTAATATATCAACCATGTCAACTATGTCTAATATGTTAGTTTCCAGGGGGAACTGTACTTCATATAAGGAAATTATATTACACAATTTAGTAGATCATTTTTTATACATTTTACAATACTTTTTCAAGAAACTTGTATAGCCTATTCATCCTATAAAAAGCGCACAGATGCTAAGCATTCCTTAAACTTTTAACGCTATAGATTAACAATTTCAAGTGAATCCATTTGAATCTAATGATTTTTAATATGTCTGAAAAGAGGAATTGTAATGAATGCCAAGCCACTGAATCGAGTAGATTTTGTCCATTAAAAGGAGAGAAGTGGAGAGAAGCTGAGAGTAAAGGCCTAATAAAGGAAAACTGGAGGGAAAGTATTGTTTTGTGTAATACTTGCTATATGAGTTTAGTAAAAAATCCTTTGAAAAGAGATCCTAAACAGAAAAAAATTGTAGAGGAAGAAGAGGTAGGTATGTATAGCACAAAGCTTAAGCTTTCCGAAGTTATCAAAATGATGGTGAAGGTCATATATGAAAGAGAATATGTACAGAACGAGAAGCCTATTTACGATTTTGACGAACTGCGAGAATTAATAGAAGAAAATGATCCCGCTCTAAAAGATTTTTTTGAATAACTTTATATAGCAGCCTGGCCTTCTGAACATAACAATCAAACAATGGATCGTATGAAAAAAATCATGTTGTTCATTTGCTACCTTCTTTTCTCATTAAATAACACAAAAATTACCGCTTTTAAGTTTGATATAGCTTATTATCTAGATTCAGCAGGAACAAGTAACGAAGGTTTAAATACCATGATGAATCTTAGGGTGACTACAATGTCAAGGTCGGTTGATCAGAAGAAGAAACAAATGTCTGATGCATATCAAGAATATGTGGAGAATGCTCTTAAATACCATTCAGGAAATGCTTTTGTATTAAACGTTAACAACTATCATAATATACATGTCCAACGGCAATCTGATACAACTGAAACCTCCTGGGTAGCACATATAGCAACAATCTTAGCAAATCCATGTCCAATGTCAGTAATATCATATTGTAAAGTAGTTAATCTGAAGATTATGGATGATGAATTAATTCAGAAACATCTTAATAGTTGGTTTATTACAAATATAGGTATTTTTTATTATGAACGCATGTGAAATAATACAAAGGAATGTTCAGATGAAGAGCTGGTAAATAGATTGACGATACATAGCTACAATGATAGGATAATAGAAAAAGAAGATAATCAGCATATATGGGATTCTATTCTTTTTGATTTTATTGAAAGGAATTTGAAAGGGATAGAGAATTATATGAGCACACTCTGGGTCGTATACGAACAAGAATCAATGCATATGTATCTTTTCAATTATGTGATTCCTGTTGTTGCGGACTGGCCTGATCAATTGTTTATTCACAAAGCTCTTATGCAACAGCTTCTTGTTAATAATAAAAATATTTCTCAATTTATCATGTTATTTTTACCTATGATAGGTCCCCTTCATGTATCTTTAAACGCTCGCGAGCTTGTTTTTTAAAGAACTCTAATCTGTTCAATAATATTTACAAAAGTATATTCAGCGTACGTAAGGACCTTGGTAAGAAGCCACAGCTATGAGAATCGATTTGATTTTATATATTATACGCATAGCGTGGTTTGATGTAGCTGAAACTATTTATTTGAAATTTGGCCATTTATGCAAAAATATTGAATTTTTGTATCTAACAGATTTTTTTAGTAATTTGATTCCCTTAGTTCTCGATGTTTACGTGATACAACATCATAGGGGTGATTAGTCAGCTTACGAAGAGGCCTATATATGTTGTTGGAGTGACCTTTTTCTACAGTTTGATCGTAGGAATTACAAACGTACCCCTTTAATGTTCTTCTCAAATGTTTTTTATTGGATAGAGATTGGACATCTGATGATTAATTTGATTACTAATTATCTTGCTTCTTTAAGTGATTATCCCATCAAAATGGCTCACAGTGTTATTTGGAGATGTACATTTAAATTTTTCACTGCTCAACAATTACGAAAGGAGACACATTTTATCTTTCAATAATGATATGATAATTCCTTTCAACAGCATTTCATACATAGTATAAAATATCCATATATACCAAAGCAGTTGTAAATGCTTTCTCAAAAATGTACTATATAGATTTTGGAGTCATTTGCAAAGATATACCCAACACGAAACCAGTATCCTTTAATTTTTAAATCCTCATCTGATGGTATTAACATGTATAAGCTTTCTTCATTAGATTATGAAATAACAAATCAGCATCTCCTACGAGGCTTTATTACTTCTAGAAAACCTAACATTTTTACTTTATATGATTTTATTAATTGTGAACATACTGATGACTCTCTTAATGACAGTATTTTAGTGTATAGGCATGGTTATCACAGCTCTTGCTTGCAACGATATCAAAACAAGTGTTTAATATATTTAAACTATTTATAGGATGAGGTTAAAAAGAATGTTGATGCATTGAAGACAAGTTTAACGAATTTGATAAAGAAACAAATTGAAGCTGAAGCCATTAATGAGGATAATGAAAATGCAGTTGAAAATGAATCAGATAATGTAACGGATGATATAGCAACAATCAGTGTGTAAAATTCATGTGCACAATGTGCACATGTGCACATTAAATTTTTATGTGCACATATTACACAGCATAAAATGTGCACAAATAATTACTAAAAATAGATAAATTATATATAAAAATGGATAAATTATTTATAAAAATGGAAATACTATGTAATACATGCATTAATTTTCTATTTTTAGTACAATTTGTGCACATAACTTTTGGTCCAAATTTTATACACTGGCCCAGCACATCGTAGATGTAATCTTTTACTCCGAATAAAGCCAGACGAAATTAAGATTCCATTAATTTATCACGGAGGGAAGCATTATGACTTTCATCATGAAGTACGGGAATTAGGTCTAGTTAGTAAAGACAAAATCGAAATAATTGCGGACAATATGGAGAATTATAAGACGATAATAATTGGCCAGATAAAATTTATAGATTCCTGTCAATTCCAGTTCCCATCATTAGAAAAAGTAGCAAATAATTTACGTGGTCAAGAAAAGACTTCAGAGTAATTAGCTAAATGTTTTCCAATAATGGCACAGAGTATACCTCAGAATTTACTCCCACTAGTCACACAAAAAAGTGAGTATGCATATGAATTAAATGATCCTGAGCGCTTCTCTAGAACAGAGCTCCCATCAAGAAAAGAATTTAACACGGTACTAGGCGGACTAAATTATTGTGAAAATGGCTGTAAAAAATGTAAGCATGAAATAAAGGGTAAAAAGTGTGATGGAAAATGTAAGGAAGATGACTTTAAGGAGACTGACGATTGTGAACATGAGAAGATTTATACCATCAGTCAAAAGCAATATGACCATGCACAGAAAGTATGAGAGGAGGCAGGGTGTAAAACATTCGGGGACTATCATGATTTATATCTTAGAACTGATGTTTTAATATTAGCGGACTCAATTCAGTGATTCCGAACGACAATGAAGGAAGTATCCGGATTAGATCCTTTGAACTATATTACATTACCATCATTCGCATTTGATATGCTAAAAAAGATAACTAAGATCAAGCTCGAATTATTCCATAAAGGTCAAGAAGATATGCACGAATTCGTCCAACGCTGGATGCGAGGTGGTAATTCTATGGCCCCACGACGTTTAGCAAAAGCAAATTTTCCCGGAATGAAAGGCTATAATAAACATAAGGCAAATAAATGGCTCCTATATTTAGATGCTAATAATTTATACGGATGGGCT